TCATTCGATGAATTAGAGATAAACGCTTGATTAAGCATCCACAAACCAGAAAAAATGAAAAGCTAGGGGAGCATGGCGTTTTGAGGAACATGATATGTGAACTAAGCATATGGCTAAAGATCAGCGAAAAATGTTAAATGCGCGCGCACACAGACACACACATAAAAGGACAAAAAAAAAAAGTGAGAGCACAGTTAATTGCTTATTTTGTTGCAAGCTAATGCATATTATTTTATTATGATTGTTAATAATTAGTATTTAATACCTTCCGATAAGCATTCATTTGGCATATCATTGTGGAGGCCAGGTGCCAACGCATCATCATCATCATATATCACTTTGTTTTTTATTATAAGTCGCTTATATCTCAAACCTACAAACCAAGATATATATTAAATTAACCACTATTTTTTTATATTTACCCTTATTAAAAGTTGAGAGAGAGAGAAAGAGGGAGGGAGGAGATGGATTGCATAGGAAATGAAAAATTGAGAGAGAAATGGAGAAAGAGATTAATTAATTTTTTATTAAATTAATAGGGATAAAATTAGAAAAAGATCATTAATTATACTATAAGAGACTTATATTTTGAAACAGACTTTTGGGGTACAAGTGACCTATAATAAGGAACAGAGTGGCATTTTCAAACTGCAATTTATTATAAAATTTTAAAATTCATTTTAAAGCATATATATATATATATATATATATAGAAAGCTCGGGTAATATAGGACTGAAGAATATTAATCACGCCTTAATATTAACCCAAATGCAGTTTTTTTGTTTTGTTTTATGTAGCTGCATTTAACATTATGCTAGCCCAGATTTGGAAGGAAAAAAAAAATCCTGCGTTATTACAATCGAATAAGCTCACAGCTCCAGTTAAACGATGTGCTAAAAATCTATAATTTTGTTAATCTTACAGAGTGGCAAAATGGCAATTGAATAAATTTAAGATGGTAGTTTGGGTTTTGGAGATCATGTCTGATGGGGCCACCTATGAACAGTTACACGCAAACTTATGAGCAAAGACTGTTAATAAAAGTCCAAAACATAAAAATACAAAGGGAATAGATTAGGGTCATATAGGCTAGCAGCCTAGGCTAGGTTTATATTTGGATTAATTCCCATTAAAGAGGGTTGACCGAAGTTACTAAATATGGCCAGATTCATCTTTTTCATTCCAATCTTTTTGTTTGATTTTATAATGGCACGTTGTTGTAGTATACGCTATACAATCATTTTTGCAAAACAAACCAAGTTATAAGTCCTTTTAATTTCAGATGATTTTTAATTGCATTTTTGTGGTTTTTTTCCCCACCAAATTGTTGTTGCATTGTTTCCTTCGTAATTATACACATTAGGCTATGTATTCATAACTTATTAATTATTGTTAATACGAAACTAATTAGCATCATGTAAGTTGTTACAAAATACAAAATGGGAAAAAATTAAAAGTAAAATGGTGAGATATAATTTATTTATCGTTAACACAATAAAAACATTATTATACTCGTGATCATCTTCTTGCATCTATGCATAATCTGTAATTTAGTTATGTTAATTTTGTTTTGATTTCTGTGACAAAATCAATTTGACGACAAGAGTCACGTTATTAACTGTTAATGTTCTTTCTCTTACAAATTAACAAATTAAAATTACGGGAGCTAATGACTATAATTTAAAAAACTGTAATGATCCAATAATTAAAAAAAATATAAGTACTTGATTAAGCATCATAAAACTGTGATAAGAAGCTACTAATGAATTTTCTTATACATGATAGATATTAGATTTATCAACCTGCTCCCTCCATGTGGAGATAGAACATGCGTCGTTGGAATACAAGTCTTTGACCTTAGGTTTGGATTTAAATACAAGAGGAAATGGAATTTTCAATTAAAAAAATTATACGACAGAAAATATGAGGCTAATATCTCTCAAAACAAAAGGCCATATTGTAACTAATTTATACATCCATTGGACAACCTAATGATTATAAATGCGCCTAATGATTAGTAACACATATATACACACACCTGGCCCACCAATTCCTTATAATACGTAACTGCATATAAACTCAACATGATAAGTTGATAGGGATTGGTAAGAGAAATAGACAATGATATATACCTTTCATTTTGTTCTGCTTCTTCCTGAATATGACTTTCTCCTTTGTTGCGCTAAATCAATACTACCTCTGGTCCTTAATATAAGACCCTATTTGACTTTTTGTTTGGTCCTAATTATAAGACCCCAATCCATTTTGTCTCTTATATTTATGTATTTTTTTCCAAGATAGTCCTTCTAATAATAATAGTTTTTGTCAATACACTTAATTAGCAAGGATATTTTAGGAATGACAACACTTATTTATTACAAATAACTAACTTAACTCACTTCCTTAATCTCCTCAAATAAGTCAATTGGGTCTTATAATTAGAACCGGAGGTAGTATCATTTTTACACAAATGCTGAGGCATTCCTCACTTCCACTCCTTCCTATAATTCTCTTACCTTTGATTATGTTTGATAGGGAGCATTGAAAATAAGGGATTGGAATTGGGATTGGAATTGAAAATTTCTATTAAAAAAATATTTAATATAAGAGATTGCTTGTTATATGGGATTAACCAAATTCATATATGTGGGATTATAGAATACCATGAAGGGAAGTGATATTCTCTAATCCTATTTCAATTGCAATCACAATCCTAATATCTCAATTTCAATGCTTCGTCGTACTAAACGGGACTTTTAAGCCTTGCCTTATCCCTTGCCAATGAAAATCACTATGCGGTCAAATACCTTCTATCATTATTTTAATCTCAATATAATATTTCAGAAAAATGAAATTAATTAAAGGGTTAAATCTAAGTACAAAACAATTAAGGGATGTAGTGTATGCAGTGCGAACTTCATTGTATTTGATTGAATTCTATTTAGCTCCTAACTTTAGGTTGGCATGAACTTATCGATGTATAATCTTGTTACTACGTATACTCTATGAACGTGATGTGAAATCCCAGCAATGAAAACAATACATACTCTCACAACATAAAGGGATGAAAGCTGACAATTACTTAGTGACGTCCAAGCCCACGTCACTCTCATGTTTCAAGTTATTTTTTACGTACGCGCACAATTTTGTTGTTGTATGATTTTAATAATTTTTTTTCTTGGTCCAGAAAATAATTAATTTTATTAGACACCAAAAGTGTTTGGTAAATTTTGCTGTGATGGTAAACTACATAAACAAACAATTACTGCATGCAATTATCCGTATGGTCTTGGTATTCGTATTGATTCGCGCGACTTGCTTCCAAGAGAGTTCAATTATTTAATTTAATGCATGGAACACATAACATTAAATTCCCTACAAAAGACAGCCTCACATTTGATTTAGTTGTGATACTTTATAAAATTTGATCAATTAAGACAGCAGAACATAATACTCGTTAGAACAGGTACACAAGGTATATCAAGTTAGGAAGCCAACATTAATTAGGCTTTGCCGGTGAGTTCTGGTCACATAGGCCTTCTTATCCAAAAAGCCTACTCTTAATTACGTTACCTTCTCGAAATTAAAGTCAAATCTGAGTATTTTCTAGCTTAATTAATTGGATACCCCCATCTCTTGAAATTAATATTAATTACTTTCTATTTGACAAAATCATCAAACACTCGATACTGACTAAAGAAAATTAAGTTCCTTTTATCTTACCCAGCTCTATTAATATATCATGCTCCTTACCTATTCCATCTACTTAATTATATCAATTTATATATTAAAGCAGTAATATATTCTCATGATATGATTAAGATTTGATCACTCAATAATCAATCAAGGAATTGTATTTTATTTTGAATTTAATCCAAGGATGTATGTGGCGGGCAAAAGGATGAACAAACCAAACTGTGCGTATATATGGTTATGATTTGTGTATCTGATGAGGGGCCTTGGCACTGATTCTTTAATTTCAAGTTTAAATTATGGTTGGAGTTGAAAATTCAAAGACCCACGGTCCTGTTAATTAACCTCTAATTCCCCACAATTAATATAAAATAACGACTTTCCGCGTCCTCTGATCTCTCCCAAATCCCACGCCCATAATCATTTTTATTTTGAAGCTTCTCTTTAATTTTTGTTTTTAAACAAAGGATTGGCGATCGCGCCCATTCTTATCTCAAGTACCTTAACCCCATGATTACAAGCAACGACGACACTTACAGAATCTCCGTTTATTTGGGAGCTCCCGCTGATCTTTTTTTATATATGCGTGCGATATGATTATTAATCATCAGGTGGTTACTTTCGATGTGTTTATTACCGAACACGTCATTTTAATTAGTACTAATTAATCTCATCTAATCTAATCCAATTATATATAACAGAAGAGTAGATTAATGTGAAAATTTCATCAGTCCCACCAACGCGGAGACTCCACCCAGGCCTCCCCCACATTGCGCACTCACAATGATGCATCATGCATGTGTCTCTTTTACTTGTTATTCGTATCATTGTTTTTGGATTTGTCCCCCATTCATACATTCCCAGCTATAACCATGATTTAACCCTCCCCATGTTTCCCACCTCTCCAACTTTTTACACCTAGCTAGCCAATTTAATAATATTCTATTCTGTTAGATTTGATTATATATCAAAAATCTTAATTCATCTTATCTCTCATATTTATTATTTTTTAAAAAAATTAATTTACTTCACTTATAAATTAATACTATTATACATGCATGTGTATTTTAGAAAAGGTATCTTCCACACTTACTTGATTTATTTGACGTGGTTTGTATGAAGTACGTACCAGTTGAAAAAGGTCCCCAGCCCACACTAACTACCGTTGCTTTCCTTTACTTGAAAGTCGAAACGAGTCGGCTTTTGGGCTCAGCTCATCATCATGTATAAATTGTTCGTGTGAAGCCAAAGGAATATATATAGAGAGAGCGGGACATCGCCATCGTCCTCCTCGATCAGTCTCTCTCTGTTAATGCTGAATCAGCCTCTTGGTTGGTGCTCATCCTTCTGCTTCACCCTCCTCCATTGAGCTACCCGTTACAGAAGCAGAACAAACCATTCTTCACACTCCCAATTTCTCACACCTTCCTTCTCCTGCAATTCACCGCTTAATCCATACCCCAGTGCATCCCAGCTCTGGTTAGTTAGCTATCGCTTGTTGACTGCATTAATTCTTGATGGAGTATTGCCTGCGAGAAATAGAAGGAAAGCAAGCCAATGATCCGTTGTTCATTGAGAAAATGAACGACGCCAAATTGTCACATCGTCGACGATGCGTGTGGGTTCCAGGTCCAGTGATCGTCGGGGCAGGGCCTTCCGGTCTCGCCGCCGCGGCTTGCCTGAAACAGAAAGGGGTCCCTACTTTGATTCTAGAAAGATCGGATTGCATAGCTTCTCTGTGGCAGCACAAAACCTACGATCGCCTTCGTCTTCATTTGCCCAGGCAATTCTGCGAGCTTCCGTTGATGGGTTTTCCGAGTGATTTCCCGACATACCCGACGAAGCAGCAGTTCGTACAGTACCTGGAGAGCTACGCAGGGACGTTCGACATCAGGCCGAGGTTCAACGAAACGGTGAGGCAGGCGCAATTCGACGCCACGCTTGGGTTTTGGCGAGTGGAAAGCGTGGACAAGGCGGAGAAGATGACGGAGTACTTGTGCCGCTGGGTGATCGTGGCGACGGGAGAGAATGCGGAAGCAGTGGTGCCGGAAATAGAAGGAATGGGGCAATTCGGAGGGGATATAAGGCACACGAGCTCGTATAAGAGTGGCGAGGAGTTCGAAGGGAAGAGAGTGTTGGTGGTGGGATGTGGGAATTCCGGCATGGAAGTGTGCTTGGACCTCTGTAACCATAATGCTGCTCCTTCTCTTGCGGTCAGACATACAGTAAGAAACCATTCGCTTTTCTGTTCCCATCCATTTATTTATTTTTTAAAAATTCTGGATATGCACTGTGCGGCAACCGAAAAGTTTTGCGTGCATCTACTTTTGGAATTCTTCGTTTGATGTGAACAATACTAAATTTGACAGAGCAACAAATCTCCCAATCCTTGTTTGATTCCATAGACTCTCCTTTTCATCATGAGTTCTGTCAAATTTCGGAATATGGAGAGGTGGTTCCGAAGCAAAACCCAACCTAAGATCCTCATTCCTCATCTCAACCCCCCTGTCTGTTTAAATGCGAAATTTGCATGCCTTAATCTTCATATTCTGGGAAAATTCTCACACCACAAGAAGACTGCAATTCAGTCTCAAAAACGCTTTTCTTATTACCAAATTAAACAGCAATACAGAGCTCGTTTCATTTCCATTCTCCCATGGAATGGATTGTTCACAGACGATTCAGGGGAAAAAAACCGCTCACCGTACTGGGGTGGCGTCGCATGCATTAGGAGCTTCAGTGAAGTTGATAGATTATAGGGTTAGAATATATGAAAATGATGAAGGAATTGTTGTTTATGTATACAGGTACACATATTGCCGAGGGAGATGCTGGGAAAATCGACGTTCGGATTGTCGATGTGGTTGCTGAAGTGGGTGCCGATGAGGGTGGTGGATGCGTTGCTTCTGATAGTGTCGTGGGTGATGCTTGGCGACACATCTCGCTTCGGACTGAACCGCCCCGCCGTGGGTCCCCTTCAGTTAAAGAACCTCTCCGGCAAGACCCCCGTCCTTGATGTCGGCACGCTCTCCAAGATTAAATCTGGCCACATTCAGGTACTTTCCTCCCCTGTAGCTTGCAATAAATTTTTTAATTCTCTCTTAATCGCAAAATATACAATTTTTATTTAGTATTTGCTTTAGTGGTATTTTGCATTCTATTCAGTATTTTAATAAAGTCTGTCAGATGATGATGAAGCATATATAATAACCCAATAGACTAATACCAAGATACTATATGAGGTATTGCTTTTTTTAAGCTTTTGCATTTCATGATACATGGTGAGCAGCACCATTAATGGACATATGTGTTCATTGAAATCGGCCCTTTTTTGTCGTTCGTGAGATTTCCCGTCGTGTCATTCTGATTTTCAATCAATCCGTCTATGAAATCGCTAGGGTTAGAATATTAGATTTGTTCCAAGTTAAAAGGCAAAATGACAAAAATTGATCATCAATTCAACCATGTTTGTTTAATTAGCGGTTCCCGAGGGGATTGGTCGTTTGACTGATTGAATTGATATAGGTGCGTCCAGGCATTAAGCGGCTAAAACGACATGCCGTGGAATTTGTCGACGGCAAGACTGAGAGCTTTGACGCCATTATACTCGCAACTGGCTACAAAAGCAACGTCCCCTCCTGGCTAAAGGTAACCAAAGAGCTTTCACCTTAGTAAAAAGCGAAACATATACATAACGAAGTGGTTAACTATATTAATAATTTATATAACATAAGTGCAGGAAGGGGATATGTTCAGTGAGGAAGATGGATTCCCAAGGAGGCCATTCCCAAATGGTTGGAGAGGTGAAAATGGATTATACGCAGTGGGATTCACGAAACGAGGATTGCTGGGAGCATCCATGGATGCCAAGAGAATATCTGAAGATATTGAGAGATGTTGGAAAGCCGAGACAAAGCATCTCAGTACATTGGCCTCCTCATCACTTTTGCCACTACCCAATTCATGATTCACAGTGACACCATATTAAAGTTGAACTGTACATGACTCTATATATGGTCATGGGAGGCCTTTGGTGGTGGCATCACACATGGGCTCCTCTTTCAGTGCTTGTACCACACATTGTTGCTCCTCCATTCAAATCCGTGCATATGTGAAAAAGCGGGCACTTATATATATATCACAAAGATTCTTTCAACTATATATGGAGCCCCTCATCATCAGCTTTTCAAGGACTCATCAGTCTGCCACGACGCTCTCACTGGCCGAGAGAGCAGAGGACACATTATTGAGTTTTTATAACAAAGCTTACTGGCTTTCGTTCCTCTTTTTGCCCGCAGGGGGATGACCCCCTCGCCAGCTGATTATATCGGTAAATCTTTTACATTACAGATCTTATCTTTAGGTTCGACTCATCATCACTTTACAGAAGGATTTCAAATAGAGTGACAGCCAAAGAGGGTTGGGATGTGATTGACAAAGCTATGCTTATATATGACCTGTGCTTACTTTGACCTCTACATTTTTCTAATAATAATTTATTTCTGCGGATTTTTCCCCCCAGAGAATTGAATATGTCATAGATATATATGTGCATAACATATTGCCTCTCTCTCTCTCTTCAATGCTTTAATTTGCGTTATTACTCAGTTCAGGTTTTGGTCTCTGAACTTTAGGGAAGAAGGCAAAGTAAATTAAGACTAATAGACGGCTAGGAAAACTCTTTCTCAACATAGAATATGAGAATGTGGTAGATCATGTGCCCATATTTTTTAGGGGATCATGTAGGTCACCATGTACAGATTTGATTACTGGTTTCATGCACTTTCGACATCGAAATGATTACATATTCCAAATAATAATAGTAAGGACTGCCCTCACTTTTCCTCAGAAAACCCTGCCATTTCAAAGCTGCAACACCACATTTATTACCCGTTTTAATTTGCCCTTACCAACCTCATTGATTCAACCTAGCTAATACCAGCAACCACCCCTTTAATTTTAACACGGCATATTCCTCATCAGTACTCTCTCTCTCTCTCTCTCTCTATATATATATATATATGCTTCTCGATCAGCTATATATAAAAATAAGGTCAAAGTGAGACTTCGTAGGAGGCTTTATTTGCCATGCTTTATGAGAAAGAGAGAACCCCACAAAATGCAAGTTGGTGCAAAATGACATCTGATTAAGCTCTACCCGGTCACATTGGTCTGATCTGCTGGTTCTTTGTAATCAGAAAAAGAAAAAGGGTATGGGCAAATGGGGTCAACGTTAATAATCTAGCTACTGTCAAACTGTCATTTCTTTGAGAGCTTTGAATAGCCCAATAGATCCCATCTTTTTTTGTTTTTCATATAATTATTATTCTAATCATTTCCATTTTCCACGATTCATTCACAGTGCCACATAGTTATGTTTTTCACCTCAAACTTAACACAACACCTGCATATAGTCTAATTTCAAATTATGGCTTTTTCAATAATGATATGCATGATAATAGACAAAGTATTTGACCGGCAATAGTAAGCCTGAATACTGTATATAATTATGTGAAACTCTTGTTAAGCATATTTTTGCACTCGATTATCAACTACGTTCCAATTTCCATGTGATTCTTAAACTGACTAGTTATACAGGTGATTCGGGCACACATGAGTTTTGAGCGGGTCCGAGTCCTGGTATAACAACATTAAATTACGAAAGTAAGTAATTATTAATTTAATATACTCTGGAAATATTGGCGAATTTTAAATTATTAATATTCATATTTTAATAAGTAGATAAAAGTAAAGCAAAAACGAGTTAGTATATAACATTTTAAAAATATTTATGTAAAGCTAAGCACAATAGAGAGAGAGAGAGAGAGAGAGAGAATAGTATGATTTTGCAGGGATTTTCTCTCCCATTCTCATGACAAAGAATCCGGAGAGTGCGAATCCTCAATTGAAATATAACATACTAACTCCGGTCCTAGTTATAAGAGCTAGTTGACTAATTTAAAGAGATTAAGGAAGTAAGTTAAGTTAGTTATTTATCCTAAATAGGTGTTGTCTTTCCTAAAATATCCTTGCTAATCAAGTGTATTGACTAGAACTATTATTGTTAGAATGGCTACTTTGAAAAAATATATATAAATATAAAAGACAAAGTGGATTTGAGTCTTATATTTAGGATCAAAATAAAAATCAAACAGAATCTTATATTAAAGATCGGAGGTAGTATTAACATGCAACCAGGATTCAAAAATTCCAGAATATTTGGTTCCTTGCAGATACCAAAGTCTCAAAGATATTTCGAGAGACGCACTTCCAAATGCTAGGAAAATATCAGGAATCTAGTCCCATTATTTCCAAATCCAAAATATCTTCTCGAAACTGTTCAACGGGGAAATCCTAGCTAATTTCAGATGATCTTATTCAATATTTTAACACTGGATAATCAAACGAATGATATAAATATTATATACTTATCATAAAATTTTATTTACTGTGATTCATTAATATTTTTTCCGGGGTTGGGCTGTGTATGCCAATTCTGAATGCAATACAGGGAACTTTTTCTCCAAGAGTATAACCTCTTCTAGAGTGAGCTGATTTCTTATGATTCATCTTAAATTTAATGTTGAATATAATACTCCTTCCATTCTTTATTATAAAAGGCATTTGATACTTATGGCATGTTTTTATATATAAGAGAAATTTAAAAGTTGTCTCTATTTGTTTTGTTTTGATTTCCTATTTTACCTATATTTATTGTCTTCAACTCACACACTCTCTCCTTCCCACTTCTCTTTGAATAATTTATCATTATTCTCTTTTATGCTCTCTCTCCTTATTAATGAGAGTTTTTTTGAAAAAAAAATTATATATTTTACACATTAATTGTTCTTAACTAATTTTAACTGTTTTTTTAATCAACGTAACTCGGTTATTCGTCTCTTATAATAAAAAACGGAGGGAGTAATATATTAAACTGTGAAACAAATTTAAATAACGTTTAATTAACGATCATGAGATTGGAAATTTTGTATTATTGTTTTAAAAATAGGATAATAATATTAATTTTCTAGTGAAAGGAACTGTGATAATTTTTTTATAAAATTATAATAAATAAAATATTTAAATTAGAAATAATATTATGTTGATTCAGAGAAACACTCGCATTACTGATCCTTTTTTCATGTGCATGGTCCATTCCTCCATTGGGCCCCATTTGGGCCTTTATCGGGATCGTCAGTCTTTTCCCCCATCACATTGATGAACACTTAATAGAACCTCCCTTTAACAAAAGCAACAAGACAGATTAAGTCAATCCTCTTGCCCCTAATTGTCTTCTTTAACTTTGATGTCTTATTTCTCAGTCATCATAATGAAACGGTAGGCACGAAACTAAAAAGCTTGCGTTAGATTCGTTCCACCTTAATAAACCATATCCTGCTTCCATTAATTAATTCCATAAAGTGATCTTGCTGCCACTGTTCTTGGCCCTTCATCTCAATCATGTGCCCATAGCTTTATTTATTTTCATAATGGAGTGCGATGCGTGGTTTAATCATACCCAACAAAAAATCATTAACTGACAATCACCCACTAAAGTTGCAATACATATCCACACGTACCTACCTACCTCGCCCTCTTCCTTTGCCCTTTTTTTTTTGGTACAAAAATTTTAGACAGGATTTCAGTTTCAACCCAAGCCAAAGGCAAGGTGCTTGAATTGCTCTTCCTGCGACATCAAAACCTTGATCCAAAACAATAATTAACATTTGGGCCCAATCTCTCATTCATAAATTACTCTCCAAGGACAAAGTCCAATACCCCATTTAAAAGCCAGTAGGGAACTATTTTACGAGAAAGAGAGTTGAGTAATATACACGTACAACACTTACTATCGGATGTTTCAATCATATTAACGGGGTCCACAAGGCAAAAGGAAGAAGGTTATGAGTGAGAACCTAGAAATGGTGCACATGGTGAGTATTGAGGATTGAAGACCGTCAACCTCTGACGGATGGCCTTCCTCCGACGCCTTCTGTGGTCTCACCATGTGCTCCTCTTTCATTCATTAACCTGGGGATACACCAAACTGTACAGTCCGGTCAGGAAAGGGAAGGGATGGACAAGCACGCAGCACAGATACTTCTAAAAACCACGTATCCTTTAGGGGCTGCCTTTTATACCCAGATACATATTAAAAAGAAAAAAAAAAAAAGAAATGTAAAATAAGGTTAAAGAACAAGATATGTGGGTATGCATCCATAAGGAAGATGTAGTACCGATGTTAATAACAACATAATTGGCTGGTCCCTCTGTAATTCTCCCCACAGTGCAAAATGGAGGAATCCGAACTTTTTTACTCAGACAAACTTGGTGACAGTCTATAGTCAGGAAACAGTCTGTATGACTTTTTCCGCCCAAACAAACAGTATTCAACACAATGTGTAATAGATGAATCCCAGTTAAGGAAAGAGGTAATCAAAATTAAGATCCTGGAGGACTACGGAATTGAGAGCAAACTCATCTTACATGTATTCAACGAAAGTGTCAACTTGTATTTAAGAAGAAACAAATATCACATGAAAGCATCGCTTCCAGAATCTTCACTCTGAAAGTCTTAAGCAGAATGTATATGCTTCTAACCTTGTCAATCTTTGTTTTTTGGTCATGTTCACGATGAATGGCAAAGCTAGGAATAAAAAGATGGAGAGAGATCAAAAAGCAATTATCCATTTTGGCGCTTCTCTTCCTTCACAGGTAGAAAAGATTTTATCCATTCTTTCCAAGGAGCATCCTGTTGCTGTTCAATCCAAGACAAGAAACAGCTATCCAACAAGCAGAAGAAGTTGACATACAGGAGCTGATACCTCACAGGTATAAATCGAAAATTTGCAACTTGAACAATTGGCCATATGCCTCCTTCCAAAACAAAGGCTGGCAGAAAATCTCTCTTCACATCTTCTTTAATTTGAGGAAAACTCTTCCCAGTGGCAAAACCCATGTAGGTAAAAAATACAGCTAAATCCAATGGTCCAAAGATAAACCCATCGACAGCAACTTTAGTGGCAACAAAACGGAAGGAATTAGGTTTAAGCATGAGTTTAAATCTTATATATCGGTCCAAGCCTTCATACCTATAAAATTTAACAAAGATCAGAGAAAGGGATTGATATGAAACAAACAAAATGAGAATCACTTGCAAAACACAAATCACACGGAGTTTGAAGTCCTTTTTTCTTTTCCTTTCATTTTTCTTTCTTTCTTCGTGTTCCTTTTTTTATTTTTTATTTTTTATTATTATTTTTTGCCTAAAGCCTTCTTTTTCTGATTCAACACATTAAGACATCAGCAGCAAGGCTTTTTCAACGGTTGAAGAAGAACTAATAGATCCACAGCCCAAAACCAAGGTGGATGGCAAGGTCACAACACAACAGCCCTACTCAGGCCAAACCAAGTCCATTGTTAGATTTGTCTTAAATATATGGCTAGGCCTAGAATATTTAAAAGCAAGGATTTTAGCTCCACAAAGTATTGAATTCCTCTTTCAATTGATTTGAAGCATTGGCATTGATAAGCAACCTGTTTCTTGGCTAGCAGTAATTGCTTGCCTTTAGGAACAAGCAGCCATCACCATTTTACAGTATAGCCCCAACTGCAGCATTCAAGACTGTCTCACGTGAACTTTTCTAAATTCCAAGTTCCGATGGGCGATATAAATACAATGAATAGAGAGAAGAGAAGGAAACTAGTTGTGAAGCAGTTTCCCTTGCATGAAACCCTTTGGAGCTGCTACTCATGAAATGAATAAAGATCCAGGATCTAAGAATCTAAGAATCGATAAAAAGACCTCCCACAATATCCCATTGTCAATACACAACCGAGAAATAGAGCTTGAAAAGGTAGTGCTTTTTACCAGTAGTGGCCAATTGGACCAACAAATCCAAACCCAAACAAGCTGGTTGCAGCCATCCGTTTCCAGTTGATCTTAAACTCTTTATCATCATCCTGGCACATGGAAGAGAGATTGCCATTAACTAAGAGAAATAAACTCATTGATCTGATGTGCAAACCCTAGGTGTTGCACTGCAACCAAAGCAAGTAAACTGATCAAATTTTCAGTAAGTTTGTGCATGTCTCATATTACCAATGTCATGGAAAGAACATGAATGTTAGAATATAAAGTCAATCTAAAATGGAGGATTATTAGTGAAAATAAGTACTATATTATCAATATCAATCCCCACAATCCTTGACCCCAAAGCAACGACCATGTCAATGAATTTCCCGTCTCACTGCCTGTTTTTCCCTATATCTACCCCCTTGTCTCACTACTTTGGACAAAAAATGGAAAAGTTATATCTGTCACGTGGAGTCAAATGCAAACCTTGTGATTGTAGTCATCATAAGCACGCACAAAAGGAGTCTCAGACATCAATGCTAGTATAAGTATCCTTAAAAGCAGAGGTTCTTTACAGTTCACATACATGCACAAACGTCAGGGAGCATTTCAAGTTTAAGTGAACCTCCACTCTTCTCTTCAACTCGTCCTATTGTTCAGGTAGAGAACTAGCATCTATGCAAAAGAGAAAGTAATTTCAAACTAATTTCACTGGGACGATCAGCCTGGCAATCACTTGGCTGAATCAAATACTCACACACCTTTTCCCTGTTGAATGCACGTTTAATTTTATAATGTGATTCTACATTCCAAAACCAGTTTTCAGCTAACGAATTCACATCTGAGCAGGGATTTATTCACCGAATATATATGAGAGAGAGACACGCATTTGTCAAGGAGGCAGAAGAAACCAAGAATTTAGGAAAAGTCCAATAACTTACATAAGCAATGAGGGGAAGATTACCTCATTTGGCCTTTGGCTCAAGGCTGTGGAGTGAGTGATGGCCTGGGCACCTATATCACCAACCCCCCATATCAAACCAGAGCTTATGACCTGTGTCTTGACTGGGTGAGCAGCCAAGTAGCTCGTATACCATCTCCACAGCTTCAGCATATCCCGATTCGACCAGAATCAGAATGAACGAGAGCAATTTAACTTGGGAGTGACCATCGATCATCCATATCGTTCCTTTTTTGGATTAGTCAAGCGGCCATTCGCAGCAGATTGTGAAGCTAATTCGCCAATCTAAATCTTGACTACAGTATCTATGATGAACAATGGAGGATGGCTGGACGTTGGAATTATCTGTTTCATTCCATGTTGTTTGGCAGGAATGCCTTGGAACGCCGTATACAGGAATTGAAATAGAAGAAGAGAAGGACGAATCAAATTTGGCTAGAGATAAAGATCAAAACTCATAAACGGTGACCTCCTTCTCCTGAAAATAGTTGACATTTCTGCTATTTTCTCAGGTACTTTGGGAAATGTACATTTAGGGCAAGGAATAAAATTGTCCTTTGATCCAGGTCGAAAAATATTGTCCTTGATCATTTTAGCATCTGGATGGCTTGGGTCATGTACGGGCCTGTGTTTTGGACTGAGATTGTTTGAGGGACTGATGGCCCATTTCGCAGCAGATTTTCTTTTGGGCTGCTTAATGCTTCCTTGACTTAGGCCCAAAATTTTCCAGGCCTTTCATTACAAAAAAAAAAGGGGAACTTTTCCAAGCCTTAGTTACATTGTTTACCCCATATATGCATGGGTCTCGTGCGTTGTCTGTAAATTTTATAACGCAAAAATGTCTGCATTGGTGTCAGAATCAGAAGCAGCGGATTAGCAAAGGTTGCTGACCTCAAACTCGTGAAAGAGTCGCTGCAATACAGTGAGCTGGGGAACTCAATTTGTTCTCGTTGTTTCAAGATTTGTGCACCATAAGGAATACAAATCAAATTCGCATTTGTGAGCACGCAGGCACACATTCTATCTCAGACTCTGAAGTTGGAGAGATACGTTGTGGCTGCAGAAACAATAGGCCCCAAGTCCAAAGCTGCTATGGGACCCTGCTTCCTGAGCAGAGCTTTAACTTGGCTATGGCAACCAAGGTAATCACCTGATTCGCACGTCTGGCCGGTAAAGCTCTATAGTATTCTCAGTATTATTGTTGTTTTCATTTTCATCAGTTTTTTTAACTCTTTATGCTTACCCTCAAGTTACTATTGATGTTATTGTACAGGAGATGGGATTTGGGTGGCAAATCGTTGTGGGTAGTATGATTGCATTTTGGGGGGCAGCTTTTGGGTCAATGGCTTTGATCCTAAATCAGCCGCTGCTCTCTCCAAACGTGGCTACTTAATCATTTCCACATCACATTCATTTCTTTTATTTGGCCACCTGACTTAGTCAAATTTGAGTATCTTCGGGCCTTCCTAGCAAGGGGCAGCTTTTCCAAAGGCGTGATGTGACTTGGCACTCCTCATTCAACCTATGCTCATGCATACTCGGCATTAGCATTGGAGTGATTTTTAATGTTGTTCTGGATGACTGAATGGTCACTGTCCTTCTCATCATTCTCTTTATAGGTAACTAGCTTCCACATTCTTCATCTGTTTTTGGCTTTTTGTTAATTACTTATATTAAGCCCTTTATACATGCCTCAGTTTGATCTTGGTCTTAATTCCCTTCAGTAACATCAGCGAAGAATTCTTGAAGGGCGTTGAAACGTGGAAAAAGAAAACCCTGTTAAAACAGGTGATCTTGTCTCTCGTTACATTTTAATTATCCCCCTTTTCCCCCAAAATGCAAATACTGCTAATTAATTCATTTATCGCATTGATTAATGCCCGCTTTTTATCCCATTTTAGAAAGCTGCTAAGCGTCGAGTGTCAAATGGTAATGCCTTCATCTGTTCTTTCACATGTTCTTAGACGTGAACGCTTTGTGAATATATATCCATTTTAGGGCACTCGAGCCTATAGAAAGCTATGAGTCCCATATTGGAAAACCTTTGTGGGATTTTATAAGTTCAACAGACCTTCCCTTCTAATAGATTAGTCTTTTAGAATTAGGCTCTCTTTCTGGGTTTATATTTATCATATTGGTACTTTTATTGAGAGTAGGCTAATCGAAGAGGGCTATTTGCAGAGGTTTTTGACCAGTAGGAAGACCGAGTAAAGTGCCGTAGAGTGGAGCCATCGGGAACATTAATACTCGAGAGAGGTACTCTGTTATGAATCCCATGTTAAAGAATCTCACAAGTATTATAGAATTTTATAAATTTAAAAGACTCTCCCTCTTAACAGGCTAGTCTTCTGAAATTAGACTCTTCTTTTGAACTTATGCTCTTTAAAAAACCTATCTAGTTAAATAAAAACGTGTACGCAGATTGGTATGAGTGAAGAGGCATTTTATATATGGTTAGTGTGTTTCTAACTAAGGCTTTTGTCATGCCTCATTGTGTGGCTTAACTGTATTTCTTTTATAAAATTAGCCTGAAGGTAACTTTTGTTTTTAGATGCTCCTGGGGCCGGAGTATGATACAGAGCACTTCCTAGCGGACCAAACGATGCTGTTCAAAAGGATGACATCCAAGCTAACGCAATCATACTCTACAGTGGACTGCTAGTGAGTTTTACCAAATTCAGGGATTCCCTTGTCTAACTAATCCGCATGTTGCAGGTTAATATTCTTGAAAACGTATACTGAAAAGAACTCGGGCTTCTTGTTTTTGTCTGGGTCGCATTCCTTGCACTAGAGATCGCCAAGGTTTAATTTGGTCTGTCTCACCCTTTCCTTGTAGAACAATTCATCCTTTATGCAGTTTGTCTAATTTCAATTCCATTAATTATCTCGTACTGACAACAGAATCATACAGCAAATTGTTCAACGGCATACTGGATACTGAATCTTTTACAGGTAATTCTGTTTCAAACGTTTGCATTACCTGAGTACATAATATACGATAGATTAGTATTTCTTGGTGTCCTTAAAGATGTATTACGATAGATGTTTTTGAAGCGTGGTTTGAGATTTACGCAGATCCCAGTGGCAGTTGGCATGTCCCTGTAGACCTTGGTTTTCTAATAATGGCTGGAATAGCGGGCGGTCTGCTTGGAGCAGGAGCTGGTTTCATTGGGCTTGTTTGGAGCTCCGTTCAAAACGGGCTTTTAAGCAAGTTCACGTAAATCGAGATAAAACTCTCCTCACATACTTACCTCGTATTCCGTAAATCACGTTTGAAAAGCTACTTATAAGTCAATCCAAACAAGCCTATTATGAGTGGAGATGTTCGTTTTGAAATATTTTAAGACAGGAGATCAATTTAAAATAACATATTTAAAGAACCGTAGTCATCATTCTAATCAAATAGCTCAATGATCATGCGTAGATTAAAAAGAGAATGATAATTTTATTCAAAAGATGAGGAAATTAATGGCAGTTAGATTATTTATAAATACTTTTGAAAAATATAGTATAAACAATAATTTAAGTATTACAAAGTTAAGAGTCTCAATTACAAATACAATAATTAATTTGAAAAATGATTTTTTATTATATAAGAAGAAAAAAAAGAAATTGATGTTTATAACTTATTCATGTGAAAAATTTTCAACTGTTTTTAATGCTTTAACTTTTCATACTGTCTGAAACTCTGACCAATATGCTGTCTCGCATCAGGATTTTATGAGGGTCTGTCAACCAGCCCGAGTCTGAGTAAGTGAGAGAAAATTGACCTCCCAATGATTTTTCCCCTAATTAGTCGAATAGACATTAACATATTAAAATCACGAACCACATCCAATTCATGGTCTCTCACATAGCACAAAATAATTTCCATGCAACCGTTTAATTACATAAGCTCTAACCCCCCCCCAAGAAAATTGCGGAAGCATGGGCCCTTGCTTTAAAGGTAGCGGGTCTGTGGTCACCACATATAAAGTCCCGTGTTACTTATTGCTACATCTCGTTCTAATTATAAGATTTTGTTTATTATATAAACTCTAAAAAATCTCAAAAAAATTGTGGAAGCATGGGCTCTTACTTTAAAAGCAGTGGGCTTGTGGTCAGCATATAAAATCCTATATTACTTATTACGACATTTGGTCCTAATTATAATATCTTATTTGTTAATAAGCTCTAAGAAACCCCAAGGAAATTGCGGAAACATGGGCTCTTACTTTAAAGGCAGTGGGCTTGTGGTCACTGCATATAAAATCCTGTATTACTTATTATTATATCCGGTTTTAATCATAGGATCTTATTTGTCACATAAGCTCTAAAATTCCTCGAGGAAATTGCGGAAGCATGGGCCTTACTTTAAGGGCGCGTTTGGTAGGTGGGATTGGGGGGGAGGCAATGGGATTGGAACAGGGATTAGATGAAATTGTCATGTTTGGTACAATGGATTGAAGATTACCAGGGATTGAAGATTACCACATTGGTGGGATTATACAATCCCACCTACACCCCCGGTAATGCCCTTTTGATCCTGGGATTAAAAGCTGAAAAAGACAAAAATACCCATATTACAATAAAGTTAAGACAAAATTACCCCTTTCATTTTTGCATTTCATCTCCTCCTAGATCGCAATCTCCATCTTCTTTCTTCCGCACGCTCACTCGGTCGCTCACGCCGGTCGCTCACTCGGTCGCTCACGTCGTCACTCTTGGTTGCTCTGTTCATCTTCAATCAATAGTAAGATAAATTCTATCCCTATTTTTTCAGTTATCATTAACATTTGTTTTTAATCTTCTTCGATGCACAAATTCTGGTGGATTTGGAAGATTGCTGGCATCACAAACATGAATCGGTTTAATAATGCTGAGATCATAAACGGTTCCTCAATGATTTTATAGTTCCTTATTTGATCTCCCTCATCTGATTAGCCGTGCTTTATCATTAGCCTTATCTTCATCAGGTAGTGTGTATTTTACCTACTTATTGTCAATCGGTTCTTTTTTTTTTCAACAAAACATTGATGTCAAGGGAAGCATATGTCGAGGAAGGTTAAGGGGCATCGTAGATTTAAGGCGATTCCATCCCGATCTCTGTTCCCGATTCAGTTTTAGTCATAGTATAAACCATAGATGAGAAAAGCAGCGAGCACTTCATACCAGCAATCAAACTAAGAACACCATTAGTCGAGGTGGTTGAGAACAACATAAGGGGGATGTTTACAAATTTGATGTGAGCCGTTGCGAAACGCAATTTACCTGTTCATCTTTTCTGCATAATATGGGAGATTTGTTATCTTTCGTTTTCTTTCTTTTCGGTTCACTTGTTTTTATGCTCTGCAGTAAATGAGTTCATCATATAAGTCAATTTGTGCGAAATAAACTGTTATTTCTGTTTTGCTAGTATAAAAAATAAAAGAGGGGGGAAGGAGGAAAATAGGGAAATGGTATCTATTTGTTTGATTAAAGTTAGGTTGAGTTGCAATATATATAAGGCATACTATTCACGTTCGTGAGTTGCAATATATATAGTTGACTGTCTTTTCACTG